AATTCTGCCCTCAAGGACCTCAATCTATGATGGATTTCTTTTTCATCCAGCCTTCACTAACAATGATCATTAATTCTTGCCTTTTGCATAGCTGTTTACTACTTCTTTAGTGCCACATTTTAGCTAATACTATCTAAAAATATTATGGGATTTATAATTCAAAAGAAAGTGGCAAATTATTACTGGCAAATCCGAGGAGTAGATATTTTCCAAGGGTAAGTGCTTAAGTCCAGGCTGTGTGTGTGTGAAATAATTTCAAAAGCAACAAGTGTATTTGAAATAGCTTAATTGTATAAAGAACTGAAGTTTGTCTCAACTTTGCTAATGTTCCATTGACAGGGGAGTACCAGAACAGGGGAATTAAATGCTTTCAATTCAGCCACATCTGAGCTGAAACACTTGCTTCTCATCAAGGCAGCACACACAATGTATGCATATTCAGACTTACCATGTGTCCCCCACAAACCATAACAAAACCATACCACCACCCCATCATCCCCTGAAGGCAAACACGTTAGCCCTAACATATCTAGTGTTGACCTTCAGCTTTGCACAGGGCTCCAAAGCATCTCTATCACTGGAAGCTGTTGAGAACAAGCTAGAAAAGCATCGATCAGAAAATATGGGTTTTGCTGGGGAAACAGATGACACTTTATTTTGGAACGGAAAGGTATTTTTCCACTCCTGTTTTCCCATTATATTCTGAAACAGAAAAAAAATACCTGTATCAAAACTATTTCAACCAATTAGAACAGCAGAGCTGCACAAAGAAGCAGTAACATTACATGATGCATTATACTTCATGGTCAGAGGTCACGGAGTAAAACCAGTATCCCTTCCTCCATCCCCTGTGAGCTAGGGGCTCAAAGGAAGAGTACCAAGGTAAAACTGCCTATCTTACTCTCCAGACAGCAAACCAGTCAAAGAGAACTGAACCCATACAGTATTACACACAACAGACTACAACACTCTTGTTAAAGTCACTCCATTTTGTTGTCTTCATCACTGGACAGAATGTGGTATTCATTCACTACCAGCAGCTTGAGAATTATCACCTAAATAATCTTGCTGATATCTGAAAAGGAAGGAGTCTTTCAGAACATTTTAAACAGCTAAGACAGACTGAGACCATTGTTTGACATGGAGGGGAAAAAGCTAAAGAAAAGAGAAGACCAGAAGCAATGATCTGTTCTTACTGACAAGGTATCTCCCATGCCCACTAGAAGCCTGCTGGAGATCACACGTGGAAAAAAAAAACACTGAGCGCAAATATTAGAGAATAAGCAATACGAAAATAAGTTAAAGAGCAAGATCTGTCACCACCTACCGCTGATAGTAAAAATGGGGAGACAGCAGTTCTTTATGTTCTCATTTGTTTAGACTTCCAAAAACACACCAGGGAGTATCCAGAAGGTGTCTACCATTTCAGAAAAATGACATTCATTGACTTTTTAAGCCTAATTTTCAAAATAATCAACAAATTGAACAAAAAATTGAACATCACTGAAGATCTCAGCAGCAACAGCACTCTACAGTAACTCATGAAAATCAGTATGAGCTGTAGAAAAAACATCACTTGTTGGGATCTAACTTCAATAAAGTGAACGTTGAAGTGTGACACCTTCAGAAACAGCACAAATTTGCTTTTTTAAGAAAAACAAAGAATATAAAAACCCCAAATTTCCACTGTAAGAATAACATTTTAATATTAATAATAACAGTACTGAAATTATGCTGATCAAAATTGATAAATATGAGTTAAAGCAAAACTCCATGCAGTTTATCTTACTCAAAAGAGAAAGAGCTGCCAAAGTTTGTACAAAGTAACCACCTCACTACTGCTATGAATCTCACACTGAAAAGCACTTACATTTATAGTGATAAGTTGACTGTATAAATTGAAGAGCAGGAAAGAAAAATTTGGAGCTGTCTTGTAACTGCCTTATGCCTACTAGGAGAAGTGAAGTCCCATGGCACAAAAAAATATCTGACCAAATAAAAGTGGCCTTCTTTCACCAGGATATATCTTTCCTACAGTAGTTCTGGGTTTTGATATTATAAATTTCAGTTACCAACATAAACTGGAGTGCCTAAACCAGCTTCAAAAGAGCAAAATCCACAACACCCTTCCAGTACCTAACTAAATGCTGATGTAGTCCTGACCACTGCCATAGCTCAGTCTCATGCCTGGATGTTCAGCTGGAGGCACCACCTTGAACTAACTGCTTATGAAAGTTGTTTTGCATGCTGATTTACAAAAGACAATCTATTATTTGTTACAGGAGGCCATGTCATTTTCTAATGCACAGAACAGGCTTCCTCATGATGATGTTTAAGGCACTGTCCTACTATTCTGCAGACTATGTCCATAAAGAATCAAACTCCACAAACAGTAGTGAAAGAAAAAGTAACGATTTATGTAAAATGGAAAGCTTAAGAAGGTTATGAGGCAAGCTGTCAATCCTATCTACTTTTAAGCCTCTCTTAAGTGATGAAGCACTAACACCCTATGAGCTGTGCTGCTCCTTTGGACAAATACAGTGTAAGTGTAAAAATAGTGTAAGCTGCACAGAAATTCCTAATATTCACTACAGAAAAGGAGAACTTCTTCAGAGGTTTTATGCTGAGAATTCTGCTTTCTCTTCTAGAGAAGAAAAGACAAACTGAAAAACTGTGATGCATTTCCAGCAATTTACGTAGCTTAAGAGGCTAATTGTTATGTTTCATTCCAAATGAAATGCCTTCCATTAATCAAACCTCAGAGTTAGCAGAGTTGTATCCAATCCAACAGTCCATGGGATTATATTGGTAGAATTCAAACGCCAACTACAGACAATGCGGCTTAGAAGGACAGTAAGGCTGGGGCCCATGTTGATGACAGCCCAGTGGTAGCTTTTAATGAAGAAACTACCAGAGTAACAGAAGTTCTTGGAAATACTTTCAACATTGGGTTGGCAAGATACTTCTAACATATTGAGCTCCCACCACTTCCTCTCAAGTGATCATTTCAACATGTGGAAAGAGGGAAATTTTTGCTTGAAATAAAGATTGTGGTGGTTTGAATGACAGACACATGTTCCTGGCACTTGATCCTGTAACTTGAATGCTGCTAATGAGCTCACATGGCTGATGGGAAAACACTAAACAATATGTAACACAGCATGTAAACAAAAAAAGACCAACCCCAATCAGGGTCTCAGGATAACAGGTATCTAGTTCATGACCCTTTCAGGACAGCCAGGTAGGAAAAAACATCGGTGCAATCTTGTTTGCAAAAATCTGTGAGGGTTCTGACACACAAAGTAGCAGAGGGGGATAATCCTGTGCTCAGTATAGGTGTTAGCATTTCAGATTTGATACATTATCATATATTCCGGCCTGAAAAGTCAACAGCCAAGACCCTGAGAGCAGGGCAAATGAATCTGGTAGATGCTCATAGCTGCCTTTTTATTGAGTTATAATGAGATAAACTAGACAGCAGGCAACAGTTGGAGAGGCTGTATATCAATCAGCTGTTTCTTGAATACCAGCCAAACTATTACGTTCCTTGAAGTCAGTAACAGATTGTGTCCAAAAGGCAGCCCTGACTGCATTCAATAACAAAGGTCCCAGATTACTTCAGCTACTATTCAGGCAACCATAAACACATAGATGAGTGTGATATATGGTCACTCATATTTGTTTGGATGATTTCTGCATTTCATTTTATGTGCATAGCCTTAACATCTGAAAGAAAGTGTAATGAGTAATCAATCTAGGAACACAAGGACAAGATGTGTCATACTGTATTAGAAAGGTGAAGCAAGCTCCCCATGCTAACGATTTCTACTGAATATATGCTGGCTATATGGAAAAAGCAAGAAGACATAGGCAGCAGTCTTGCAACCTATCTGCCAGAGCACGTAACAAGAAAGAAGCTAAACACCACCGAGTTGCATGACATAAGTTTTTTCAAGTAAGGCTCAGCCATAAAAAGTACATCTTTATTGTTGAACTCATAGCTCAAGATTGAAAAAGATTTTACTCTGAATGTTAAATAGCTAATATGCACTTTTACATTTCCATAACATACAGTCTAAAAGGAGTCTTAGAGGTACTTAGTGTGACCTCAAACATGACACACAGAACAGTGATCATCACTTTGACATCATAAGCTGTCCATCATCTCAAGGGCATTTTCTTGATTTCTGCATCTTCTATGAAGCAGGAAGAGTTCCTATAAATCTCAGAAAATCTTTTGGTTTTCAAATGCAAACAAAAATAGACTAGGAACAGTCCTTTGTAACTTGCTTGAGTCTTCAAAGTAAGTAGTGCTCTGCAGCAGTACATGAAACAGAAAACCAAATTCAACCAACCAGTGGCTGTCCTCTGCATCTCTTTACATTTATAGCCTAACAGCTGGTCTACCTTACAGAGTACCACCTACGTAATTCCTATGCCTACACTTACTGGCTTGTTTGCAGATGATACTGCTTTACAAGGCAGTTTTCAATCAGCTCTGGAAGAATCATCTCCCTAGCATGATCTCAAGATCTCAAGTTTCTTGTGTTCTAGTAGCTCTTAACTAACTAAAATGATTGATTAATTTCAAAAATTATAAGGAAAATATGACATTTTTCTTTGGCTACAGCCTTACTACAAAAGCTGTCTGGATAGAGTACTCAAAGAGTAACAGACAGAAAAATTCATATTAGCTGTTGCTTAAAAGATTCATACACAAAACTTGAAAAACATTGAAAACAGAGGAGGTTTTTGCATGAGAAATTTCAATACAAGCTTCATGCATATAATATATAAACGATTGCCAGTTACTATTGTGCTGAAAAATAATGGACTATCACCACTTCTAACACCTACAGATTATACAAGAACACTTGATTTAAAATAAATCTTAGATGTTCTGCATTTTCACGTTTCTTACAGGTTAGTTATGACAAGCCAGATGAAGCATGATTTCTTACCATTGTTATTAAAAAAAAAGATATTAGCTCATGAGAAAGTCATTCAGCTCTCACATCTGTGTTTCTTTTTTCAAGCCTGGCATTTTTGAATACACAGTCCATCACATAAAGTCCACTTATACAGAAACAATATTCCAATCCTAGGAACCATTTCACCTAGGACACTTGTGCAGAGCCTTAGCGAGCTCTGTGTAACTGCATTTGCCTCACAACAGAAAAGTGGCCAGGCATTATAAGCACTTTGAAGGTGAGTTGCTAATAAACTACGTGCATGCAGAATGCACTGTTGATCACTATTCCCTGGTATAGGGGCTGGATGATTCTCATATTGCAACCTCATTGGTCACTGGGATAGGATACGGCAGAACAATGTGTCCACGGGCAAGCATTCTATCGGGACAAGGAACAGGCAGCCTTCAGCAATCAAATGCCAGCTCCATGAGGATGAATGAGAATTACTACTTATCACCAGAGAGGTTTTAAAGGTCTGACTGCAAAATCTGTAAGCTTTTAATTTTTGGATTTTACTTTCAGTCAGCAATTGGAAGAAAATAATAACTAAGTACAAAGTTAGAAACAGGCAGATTAAAGAAAAGTACCAAATTCTATAATCCCAACAAAAATTCAAAATTTTACTTCGAAGACAGAAAAAGGCTGAGTGCGAAAGTTGATGGAAAAGTTTTCATATAACATTGCCTTTGGGAAAGATATTTGCATAAGGACAATGCAGTCATGATAAATTGTTACTCAACATTCAACTTTGGTTGCTTTTCTCATTATTACATTTGAAGTGCAACAAGAAATGCGGGAAATCTGGTCTTCAGCATGGGACATATTTATAGTTCAAGTACAAGTACAAGGAGTACAAGGAGTACAAGGCACAAGTAAAGACACAGCCAATTATTCTTTTTATCACCTTCTGTCCTGAAAACATTGGCATTACCTTCTATTTTTTTGCATTTCTGTATCCACAGATCCCTATGCAATTTTACTTCAACTGAACATTAGTAGAAATTTATGAATCCCAGCAAGAAAAATTCTAAAATTAGTATTAAAAATCAAAACCTAATTTTTTAGAAGACTCAGCCTACAGGTACCAGGTAAGACTTCTTTGAAATCAAAATGAAATTTAAAGCTAAAATGTTGAAATTGATCAGCTACAGGTCTTACAACAAGACTCAAAAAACAGACCATCAGATTGAAAGTATATGTAAATATTGCTTAGTGGCCCTAAAGCAGTTGTCTTACCTATTTAATTTCCTGCCAGTTTTGACTAAAAATATCTTTTTGGTAGTCTTCCTTTATTAAGAAAAAAGTAACATCATCTGTCACAGTACATATCTAAAATATTTACATATCTAAAATATTTGCTGGAAAGTTTTTTCCAGCTCCTTATGCAAACCCATACTAAAACTGCTTACCACACTTGACAAAGAGACAAGCACAAAACCACAAAACAACTCAGTAAATTCTCCTAATACATTTAAATGAAATTAAGTAGACTGGAGAGATCACCATCATCATCAATGTTTTAACACCAACTAATTAGAAACTTACACAGATACACTGATTTTGAAAATTTCCAACATACAGCTACAAGGCAACTTCTACCAGCTTATTTAGCCTAAGGACTTCAGCTATTAGAAATAATGTCAAACAGCAGACTGCTGACTTGCCTCATAAAAAGGAAGCCCTGAAGACTAATCTCAACATAGACAAACTTGCTGTTACATGATTTATTAAACTAGTATTTATCTTCAGAAGTATTCTGGGATCAGCTGTTGAGGAATTTTGAAGAAAAAAAAGAAAAAAAAATCCTAGAATTAGCTAATTGCTGTACTTGCCACTTTTCTTACCTGTAGATACAAGGGTAAGAAATTCTGACTTTACCCAGCAGAAAACATACATTTACAGAGCTGGTTTCTGTATCAGAATAAAACGATTTTTCTTTTAGGTCTAAGGATTTAAGATACTGATAAAATAGTGGTGGCTGGCACAGAATTCTTTCCTGCAAAAGGAGAAACCTACAGGTTTTCTTAAAAGACAGCAATTCCCAAACCTACCATTTCAGGAGGAAGACTCAGCTAATTACAGAGCTATTCACCTCTAGTCCAACACTCCCACTATCACATTGTGTACTGACAGCATAAAAGAAAACACCAGCGAGCCAAGGAGTTAGTTCATGCTGCTTAATAGAGGTAAATGATGAACAGTAGCAAGGGACTCTAAGACTGAAAGCAAGTTTTAACCCTACTAGGATATTAAAGCCAGAATTTTAATATCCTTGATGAAACGCTGCTAGGACCAACAGGCTTCCCCAGGGAAACAGGACAAAAGGCGTCACGCTTCTGCTCATGCTGACAAGCCCCAGGCTGTGCCCTCCAACACCCTGGGTTGCCATACACCCAAGTGGGTGAGAAGACAACATGGCAAGTTTTTGCCTGAAGGAAAAAAAATAGCCTTTTGTATTATTTTAGGGTGCATAGAAAAGAAAAAAGGCTTCAGCACAGGGCAGATTAACTAGCTTCCCAAGAAAACAAGGCCTACCAAATCTCTTTGTGCATTTTACCAGTGTGTGAACTAACAAACCATTTTTAATCCTCTTCAGCAACTTCCAGATTTTACAGAGACAGAAATGCTCAGGGCCAGTAGAGGAGACTGATCCGAACGACTGCTCCTTGTACCTCCTGCTCTTAAACTCTCGGCAGCTGAAGCACGAGCACAGCAACATTAGCATGCACCAGGAGCCCATCAGTAAAGCACCAGCACAAACTCTACTTCATCTGGAAAAGACATGCGATCACAAAACCCACACAATGCGAAGGCCACACGACTTGTATGGCTCAATCAGCTGTGGGTCTGGGATTTTTTTTTAGTGGCGTTTCCCCCTTTCCTGTCTTCCATAAAATGATTTGGAGGAAAGTGATTTCATGTCTAATTAATGAGTGAGCCATAATCTTTCAAGGAGCCATCTGACTGCATTTCTTGCGGAACTTGTAATTCCTTATGTCTCCATGTAGATGTGAAAAAAACTTAGCATCAAAGAAAGAATTCTCAACCTCAAAGAAAATAAAAAGGCAAAAGTTCTATCAGCTACAGACTGGCTTGCCCTAGGAAAAGATCTCATTAAGTTTAATGATACACTGAAGCTGATTCAAAAGTTATCATGAATAGATCAAGCCTCATACCACCTCAAAGATGCAACAAGCTTTCTCTCAGTACAAAACTGAAGTAAAGGAGTTGACATGAAAAGCTGCTGACAGGAAGGAGAATAACCACCTCTTAGCACCAGGATGAAGCCTAGCATCTCTTGGCTCTTGCTGTGGGTCTTTCATAATTTCTTAAGTTTTGTCCTCAAAAACCAGGATTCAAATGCCATTCAATTTGTTTTCTTATGAAGGAAGACAGCATGGGTCTGTTTTCACAAAAAGACAAAGTTTCCTATCATCTGTGGGGTTTCAACAGTCCTCGGACATCAACAAAGCTGTATACTTCTGATTTTAAAAAAGGCCACGACTAAAAAAGAGAAAATTGTATCAAAAATAACTGGATTATTTTCTCTATACGAAAGGGTAGCGGATAAGCTTCACGGTCAAGAATAATGAGACCCAAGCTTTGTATTGTCTGAATATAAAATTCTTAGTAATTTTAATAAAATTACAAAGAGAAGACTATGAGCTTGAAAAGCCAGTCTCATGCCAAGCTAGAAGCTTTGATGATGATAAAGATAAAACACCACAGGGATGATCCACATATGACTGTAGTTTCCCAAAATGTGTACTGCTTTTATGAGCTAGGTAATGGGGAATAAGCTTTGTGATATGTTAATTTCTAGGGCTAGAAAGTCCTGGGTACTGAACAAAAGTAAGAGGCAGTTTGACACTTAAAACCAAACATGTTTTATGAGACAAGCTGCTTTCACATGAAAATATCTGTGATGCAAGGGTACATATAGACACAAAACTAAAAGCTAACACTACAGTTTCATGACACATTAAGAAAAATGCAGATTAAGTTACATCAAAATAGTATCACAACCAAGGCTTTCATGTGCTGTTGCATACACATAGCATTAAACATTTAAAATACTTGGTTTTAAGTAAAAATGGATGTAAAAACAGTAGGGTTTTTAACTCTTCTCTGAAAGAAGCCTCGCAGAAGAGCTACCCCCCATCTTTGATTTTAACCAAGAAATAATTTCTAAGCTCAAATTTTCTTTATTTTCTACTATGCATCTAACTTCCTAAAGTAAACTTGTGTGCAACTTACTAAATGAGACAAGCCTAACAAATTAACTTTCAGTAAACAGTTACATGAAAGTAATAGAGTGGCAACAGAAATTCAGGAAAGTTCACTGGCAAAAATCTTCTAAATTAGTCACAGACAAAAGAGGAGCCATAGTACATTCAGAAGGATGTGGAGATCAAATTATGGAGTGACTTCAAGGGGTGCCTAAGCAAATAATGAAGAAATGTAAAGTAAGAGGAATGAGAAATTTAAAAAAAATAATTCCTCTGGCTATGAGCACTTCCTCTTCTTTATTTTGTCCCAGATATTTGGAAAAACTAGTAGGTACTGTCCTTCCATGTTTTCTAATAAACCTCTTAACTATGGTACTGAAGCTTGGGTTTCATAACCATTTGCAAACATTCAGACAAGGATCACAGATAGGTTACCTAAACCTACAGCTAACTTCGTGATCACTAGCAGATTAGTAACAATCACTAGTAGGGTTGGTTGAAGAGTTTTCCAGAAGTTAAAGTTAAACATTTCTGGCAGTCAGATCGGTACTTCCCTTTTTTTTTTTTTTTTTTTGTAACCAAAACTAAGCCATTTATAACTTTAGAAGCACCTTATACACTTTTTAGGTAACATTTTAACTACCACTTCAGAACGTGAAATAAAATCAAATGAACAGTGGTTTAGCAATAATGGAAAACTAGTACCAATAGGAAAAAGTAACAGGTACAGGGACATACTAATACAACCTGTGACAATACCCATTACTAAGGAGCACTGGTAATCTAACTATGTCTTATATAAAATGGATATATAATATTTATTGAAATAATAATCGACTCACGATTCTCAGTGTTTGCTTAAAGCCTTTACAGATAACTGAATTTCCATGTCCTAATGAAGCAATTAGGCAACTTACAGCATCCTGAAGAATGTTTCACAAGAAGTAGACATGAACATTTCTTTTAACAGCAAAAATTGCTTGGTTACTGCAACAGCTCCGCTAGCACTGGAAACAAACTTGCCTAGAATCTGAAAGTTAACCAAACATTGTGAGATTTTTTCTCACTAAGAAAAACAGCCAATATTTACAAAATGTTTGGTTTATGCTGCCAGTCTATTGCTATCCCCTCCCCCTCTCTGAGTGCCTTTTCCTGCAAGCCACAGTCCGCTGATGCATTACTCCCACACTAAATATGTTTGTACTACTGCTACTTCTTCACATCAAGCCAGAATGGCAATTATTTTTTTCATATTTCATTTCTTCTGTTTTCCATGCTTTATTTCACATGCTGCCTTCTATACGATGGACCTGCTGTGAACCCTTTTCCAATTATTTTTTAGCACCTCCTATATATAGTAATGATAAAGTCATCTTCTGAAACTGCTTTTCCTACCAGTAGGCAGCCTATATTAACACATTCTCCACTTCAGACCAACTATGAAATGTAGCTGTAACACTGAAAGTGTCTGGCAGGGCTTACAATGAAGGTCTTAAAGGTCTTTACAATGGGATATACAGATGTTGATGTCTTTGAAATATGTTCAGTCAAAATAAAATTTTCTGGTTGTGGGGTTTTTTTGTGTTTCTTTTTTATTTAAATATCTGGTGCAAAAATATTTTTTACTTAAACATACCTGGGTGGATACTTTCATGTTTTCAACATCTGCATTTTTAAAAGAATGCCAACTTAAGTAGTACAGCAATATATTTGATTACTTTGAGTAAAAAGAGCCGTTAAACATTTTAATCTAAAAGTCCACTTGCAAATTCCTACACTCAGCTAACTTCCAGAGTTTTGTTTTGTTCTTGAATGAACTTAAAATAATCAAGGAAAGGTTTAATAATGACTTCTACCTAACAAAAGGAAGTACCATGATTTTTTTATTAATCTGTTACATAGCCTCCTCAAATTTAGGGGTTCACTAAACATTGCCAAGTAATACAATATAGTAATGCATAACTATCCATATAGTATACCATATTTATACTATATCTGATATTTAATAATACAAGATGCTGAAGCACAGAATTCTTTTGTTGCTTTTCTGCAGGGTTCATACCTAGCTCCAGCATGGCATTATCATGCTTAGTTTAGAGGCCTGGAGCACTCCTATAATGTGACTGAAGTACGCTCCCAAGACCCAGTTTTGACATCAAATATCCAAGACTTTCTCTGTATTAAAGCATTTTTGGAAGCTGTGCCACTACATATTTGTCTTTTATGGTAAATGGTTAAAGTAATAAATAAAAGAGCTCATAAAAAATAGCTCATGCTCTAAACCAAGCTGTTTAATCAAGGTTTTTATGAAAAAAATAACCCCATAATGTAATCTATTTTCCATTTCAAACAAAAAACTTGCAGTATGACTGCCCTCTGTGCACATGAGCATTCAATTTTTGTTAAATTGTGTTACATAGTTACTACTACATCTGCCTGTATCAGTCGTTCAGAGCATTCAATAAACAGTAGCATCCTGGTTTCAGTTGTAACAGTTATTTTTTCTCCTTCCTAGTAGCTGGTGCAGTGATGTGGCTTTAGTCTGAGAACAATGCTGATAGCAACAACTAAAACATCTATGTGCTAAGTAGCGCTTATCCTGATCAAGGAATTTTCAGTCTCTCATGCTCTTGTGCCCTCGAGTGAGGATATAATGTATGAGGATATAATGCCCCTCATGTCCAGTATATAAACTGGGGGAAGTTACCTGGAAGGCCCAAATCACTGCTATGGTCAGGCTGAGTATAGGTCGGAGGGTGGTGAGCAGTTGCATTGTGCATCACTTGTGTTTATTGGCTTTTTTTCCTTTCCCCTTTTAATTTTATATTCTCTCTCCTTGCTATTTCCCTTATCATTATTGTTATTATTATTAGTGGTAGCAGTAGTTTAATATTATGGTTTAGTTGTTGGATTGTTCTTATCTCAACCCATGGGGTTTACATTCTTTCAATTCTCCTCGCCATCCCACCCAGAGCAGGGTGCATGAGTGAACGGCTGTGTGGTTCTGAATTACTGGCTGGGCTTAAACTACGACAAGTAGTTACCTAACGAGTGTGTAACTAGGTATCTAGTTCCGCTGCTGGAAAGTCTAATAAAAATGCAATGGCACCATTAACACTGAAGCTACTCTAAGTGGCAAAAATTTCCCAAGGCACATATTAGAGAAGTCCGATTTTGTAATGGTGCTATTTTGCTGGCTGTGCATGTAAAATATCATCTATACACATACACAGTTCAGAAATTGGCTCCATAAAATAAGTTAAACACATAAGCACAGACTAAGACAAGTAATACAAACAAAATTGTTTTGGTTGTATTTGGTTGTAACAGGTTGGACGAGGCCTTGGGTAATATGATTTAGAGCAAGGTGTCCCTGCCCACGGTAGGGGGGTTGGAATTTGACAATCATAAGGTCCTTTCCAACCCTAACTATTCTATGATTCTATGAAAATCCCTGTGAAAATATGGACAAATCTCCAACTGATTTTAGTGATGCTAGTATTTTATCCTAGAGGTTTTGTTGTTATACATGTTGAATAATTATTTTAAAATATATTCAATTTTCCTATTTCTCTCACTTTGGACAATCACATCAGCCATTTCACCACTGACTTCAGTTTCTGGCCAATTTCATGTTCTCGTGCACTAACAAGCTGTACAGTTCACTTATGCCTCAGTACATTATTCTATTTATTGTATTTCAATAAGTGTTTCCCACTACATTTTCTAAAGATTGTACACTAAACCTACTTCTATTGGCCTCGGGTTCTGCCAGATTGCATTTTGACATCAATGTTGTCTTTTTCCACCTAATAAGAGTCTGATGAAAATCACACAGGGAAAACAGCAGCCTTGTACTGGGGCTCTCAGAGCACCTTACGTTTTCATAGAATCATAGAATAGTTAGGGTTGGAAAGGACCTTAAGATCATCAAGTTCCAACCCCCCTGCCATGGGCAGGGACACCTCGCTCTAAACCATATTACCCAAGGCCTCGTCCAACCTAGCCTTGAACACTGCCAGGGATGGAGCATTCACAACCTCCCTGGACAACCTATTCCAGTGCCTCACCACCCTTTTGCTTCAGACGAGTCAGAAAAGCTGCAGCTGCGAGTCCTAGGCCTAAAAGAAGAGCAGCAGCTTATACAGAAAAGCCAAGTTTTGGTTTTGACAGGCAACAGAGAACCTTCTGGGACCAATGAAGCACATGCAGTTAGACTGATGTGCTGAGCTAATGACAAGTAAAACCGAGTTTCCAAATAGCAGAAAATTCATGTTTGATATTTGAAAGAGCTAAGCATTTGCAAAGTCCAATATCCAGCATTCTACAAAGCAGCAAAAAGCTGATGCTTCTCATCGTATTTTGCTTAAAAAAAGTACACATCTGCTTTCATACCTGTGCACTGCACTTTTCTGATTGAGAGGAATAGCTTGTAACTAGGGGAATGGGTACACAGCATATGCAAATAAGCTCCACTTGCCCTCTGAGCCAAACAGAAGTATCACTCAAATACTGAGCCAGAGAGAATTGCACTGTGCACAGATAATGCAGCCTTTTTCTCTAAAGCATCTCTCCTGGAGCCTGCAGAGTATTTCAGCAGAATGAGCTCAAAACTAGCACCTGAGCACCATACAAGTCTGCAAAAATGAAGTCCTGAAGCACTCTTCACAGTCAGTATTATAATGTGAGCTTGAATGAGTTCAGAGCTCTTAATGTAAATTACATATGCAGACTGCTCAGGCAACCATTCTCAGTACAGACCTGAAAACTGTTAAACTGAATACAGGTTTAGAAATGTAAGATAAGCATTTCTCAGGTCATCAAATTTTTTGATACGAATAGTTAGAACATATAGTTTTATTTATGAAACGCTGAATTTCTGACTACTCTTGAAAGCAACGAGCAAGAATTAAATACAGAGAAGAGTCTGTAGTGTGTGTGACTGACAAACAGCACAGTAACTCACTAGTAGGAATCTAAATCTACACATGCTTTGTCTTATTCTAAATAATATGATACTGTGCAATGCTGTATATGCTCTTCAATTCATTCAACTGAAGGAGTGTTTGAAGTCTTTAGGAATTCAAAAATCATTTTATAGCTGATTTGCATTATGAGCTCTGAAATATGCTCTTTCTTATTGTACTGAATTTCAATGTCATTTCACAACGTTACATTTGTCTTAGCTTACACATAAAAAAAATAAATCAAATGTTCACATAAATAATGTTAAGCTTTTAAATGATATCAGAAATTTGGTCATGTAAATTAAGACTGTATGTATTTTCTCTTAAAAGAATAACTATCATTACAGATTCCTATTTAGCGCGTTTTTACATAAATGATTTAGAGAAATTAACAATTTCTCTAAACAACAAATTTCCATTATTTTTGGATACTTAATTCCTTTTTTAGAATGTCTCCTTCACAGGTTGACCACCTGAGAAGGAGAAAAAAGGTGTAATTGCTAAGCACTTCTATTATATACCTCCGAAAGTATAAAGGTGGTGACCACACTGGGAACATAAGCCAGATCAGTTTCATGATCAATGATTCTATTGTATTACAAGTCATTACCATAAAGTACAATGAGACAAGAACCTTAGCCCAAGCCACCCATTTGATAAACACTAACACAGCAAATACCGGCTGTAAGGTGCGATATGCTGAAACTGTGAGATCAAGAGAAACAACTTTGAGAGCCAATAAATCAGCATTGTGATGACTGACTATTAATCCAAAACAATGAATGCATACCACAAATATGATTAGACACACTCCAGTCAGATCTGCCCTTATCTCAACCCTTAGAGCCCCACGTTGGGCACCAAAAACGACTGTCGTGGTTTAAGCCCAAGCCGTAAATCCGAACATTTCAGTCCAACCCCCTCTCCTTTCTTCCCCCCCCACCTCGCCACCCCCCCCCGCTCCTGGTATAACTAAGGTATAACACAAAACCACTGCTGCTCCCACCAATAATAATAATGATAAGGGAAATAAGGGAAGAGAATACAATATCAGTCGTCGAAACCCAGCCCGACCGAGCAGTGAACCAGCCCTTCTGGGTAGCTCCCAGTTACACCCCAGGCATGATGTGCTGTGGTATGGAATACCTCTTTGTCTAGTTTGGGTCAGGTGTCCTGTCTCTGCTTCCTCCTGGCTTCCCCTCCTCCCTGGCAGAGCATGAGTCTCACAAAGTCCTTGGTCAGACTAAACATTTGAGCAGTAACTAAAAAAAATCCATGTTACCAGCGCTGTTCCCAGGCTGAAAGTCAAAAAACACAGCACTGCACCAGTTACTAAGAAGGAGAAAAAAAAATAACTGCTACTGCTGAACCCAGAACAGAGACCAATTTAATACATCTGAAATCAAGGTCACTTTAAAACCTAATTGAGATTACTTGCAACATAAGGACTATTTATCTCCTGTATACTATAATTCATTAAGTTAAACATAAGGGTAAAATACAAGTACTTAAAAGGCACACTTCACTTATCTATTATGAGATTCTATTAATAAGGAACTTGCTATAAAACAGGAAGTTTTTTAACTTCGAAAGAAGACATTAGGGTAACGGATAGTTTACACTTCATTTTAATGCAAGAAATACATCAGAAAAAATGAAGACTTAATACAGAATTAGGAGTAAATAAGAGAAGAATTTTCTCCAATTCTATTTATTCAACTGAAATAACAGAATCACAGAATGGTTAAAGTTGGAAGGAAACTCTCAAAATGATCAAGTTTGGGAGACTCCATCAACTCTTGAACAAACTGTTCAGGTCCCACCACCTTCACTGTGACAAACATTTTTATGCTTAAGTGGAACATCCTGTGGTTCAGTTTATGACCATTGCCTCTAGTCCTGCCATTGGATATCACCAAAAACAGTCTAGCTACGCCTTCTTTACTCCCTCCCTTACCCTCAGACCTGTTCAGATCAGACCCCCCGAGCCTTCCCTTCTCCAGGTTGAACAACCTCAGCGCTCTCAGCCTCTTATTCTGTCAGATACTTCAGTCCCTTTATCATTCCTGGATACTTCACTGGACTCACTCCAGTATGCCTGTACTGGACACCACTCTGCACCTTTCAGATTTTATTTGTTCATCTGACTGCTCAAAGCAGAGCAATAAAAGTAAGCCTAACGTTTACGTAATAACCACAGATAGTTCGCATAGTTTTTGCTCCGTGCTACTTGCCTTCCTTTCCATTTTATAAGCAAAACGAAAATTTTTTTAATTACAAGTTTTTCAGCTCTAGCGGTGTGTTTTAGGAAAGAAAACTTTGCTCAGATAAAAGGAGACAGCATCAGATAAAGTAAGTGATGGTTTTCTTGCAGCACTGTGAAAATTAATGGAATTTTCCCCTCAAAAAATGCTGCAAATGCAA